CAAGCCTGGTTGTCCCTACATAATCCTCATGTAAATTGGAAGACAGGACAGATTGTGTCTTGGAGCCCGTTTTGCTTGTCACACTGCCTACAGGTCTGCCTCCCTCACAGATCCTAAGCCCATCTCCTCCTCAGTTGCCCTGCCAGACCTGACAGGAGTACCCAAGGAATACCATGACCTTCATCAGGTATTTTCCAAAGACATGGCTGCATCCCTGCCCCCACATCGACCTTACGACTGCAGTATAGACCTGCTCCCTGGTTCCACTCTCCCCTCCAGTCGTTTGTACAACCTATCCAGACTGGAAAGGGAGTGCATGGAGCAATATATCTCAGAGTCCCTGGTTATGGGTATTATCAGACCCTCCACTTCACCCCTCGGAGCTGGGTTCTTCTTTGTATCAAAGAAGGACGGGACCCTACGTCCTTGAACTGATTACCGAGGTCTAAATCAAATAACCAGTAAAAACAAATATTCCCTACCTCTTCTTTCCTCAACCTTTGAACCTGTTCAAGATGCAACCATCTTTACAAAGTTAGATCTCCGTAGCGCCTACCACCTAGTCAGAGTTCGTGAGGGAGATGAGTGGAAAACGGCTTTCAAGACACCCATGGGACACTTTGAATACCTGGTGATGCCTTTCGGTCTGACTAATGCCCCCGCTGTTTTTCAATCACTCGTTAACGCAGTATTGAACGACTTTCTAAACAAGTTCATTACGGCGACGCTGGAGGAGGAGAAGCCGGCCGGTGGTTGGAGGTCAGGAATTGAAGCAAGCACTCCCAGGGGAGAATCTCCCCGCTGGATCCTTTGTCGGGTTGGTTCATTCTGTCAGGCGTGCTGGTGAGTGAAACGGAGATGAGGATCCACACGCGGGTGAAGAAGGAGGCAGGCAGGCAGACAGGAACATTAAAACAGGGATTTTCATCAGGAACACGCAGGACAATGAAACAATGAACCAACCAGACAAAATGGACTAACAGGGTTTAAATACAGGAGGAGCTGGGACCTTGGGTGATTGGGAGACGAGAGGCAGGTGGGAGCAATTAACATGGACACAGGACTGAACAGAATGGGGAGACAGGACAGGGTGTGACACTGAGGCCTAGACCACACGTAGCCGGGTTTTTTAAAAACGAATATCCGCCCCTCCAAAAACTTGCATCCACACCACCACGTTTTAAAAACAAACTCTGTCCACACGTACCCGGATAAATACGTTGTTAAGGACATGCCAGACCTGTAGGCGGCAGTACTTCCCCGTTCTTAACCTCGTCCTTCCTCTGTGGTCTTCCGCAAGGAGCAGTAATTCCGCTTGCAAAAACAAACAAGCAGAAAGCGCTTGGACAATTGATAAAGCGAGCGCAGCTCTGAGGGCTTCCATGCTGTCGGCTAGTGTAAACACAGGTTGCACACGTGATGTCAGCATTTTTTTGTCGCGGAAAGTGACGTTGCGGACCTTAAAACTCCGGTTATGTCCGTCCACACGCAGACACCCAAAACGGAGAAAACGCAGATCTTCACTTTGGCCGGAGTTTTTAAAAAGATCCGTTTTCGTGTGAAAAAACTCTGTTTTCGTGTGGATGACAGGCCAAAACGTAGAAAAATATCTACGTTTTGGCAGATCCCCGGCTACGTGTGGACAGGGCCTGAGAAACTATTGTTTTATAAACTACGGGGTTGGCGTTAAACGTGTTGGACGCTGGAAGCCTGCAGCGGACCTCTTCTCCTCAGCTCCTTGTAACAAGCCTCCAACTGTTCCCGCCTTCTCTCATTCATTGAGATTTAGAAATTATGAAAATGTTGTTAAAGAAAACAAAAATGCCATTGATTACATCCACATAATAACACATTCTTCACTGAAGCTCTCCTTAAAACCGTTCTTTGTTCTGCAACAGCAAAGATGGGAGATGGTGACAGAGTCAAAACCTGAGCTGGTGCTAACAGAGACTATAAACCCATTAATACAGATAATTTCTCACAAACACAGATTACATGACACTCTTCAGTTGTGTCCTGGTGGAAATAAATTCTAGTGTAACACCAGGCTGATGTATTATTGGTGCAGCTGGAGCTCGTTGTGCAGAAAGACTGCAGTAATTTATGAAAAACAACAAAAAAAACACTAAACTCATTTGGTTGGTGTCACAGATACATCTGCTCAATAGATTCACTGTAATGACTTTTGTCAAAGTTTCATTTCAGGAACACTTAGAAAGAAAACAGATGGCCGAAACTGATAATTATTCATTCTTTAGATCAGACCGACCCGGGTACGCGTGCGCCTGACAGACGCGCGGGAAACACCGAGGACAGTCGCAGCCGCTCTAGTCAACTCCTGCTCCACCGGGAGGTCAACACACTCTAAAAGCACTCTGTTGATTTAACACATCAAAATAGAGGTGGGAGGGGGAAACGCACAAAGAATGAACAAAAACACTCCAAAAACACAAAGCCTTCAGGTAACTTCTACACGTGAGGGAACCAGTCAGCGCTGTCAGCGGTCAATCCTACCTCCATCATGTCTATCAGCCAGAGCAGCCTCTCCTACAGGGGGGAGAAGGGGGAGGTGTTTTATAGTGAAGTGAGGGTGCTGAGACACAAGAGGAAAACAAAACCAGCTGAAACTAACATGTGGGTAGTGAAAGGTGTCACCCTTTATTCTGAGAGCGCCACTCTGTGGGCGTAAATCAAAATCTTGTGTCATGAACTAGTGAAGAACACACATCCAACAGGAAAATGTACTCGTAGGCTCATCATCACCGTGGTGGAGATAACTGGAGAGGATGCTGGAGCACCTACCCGTGCAGAGCTGAGGGTGGTGTTGGTCATGAAGCTGGCTGAAGAAGAGGTGAGTGTGTCCGGGTACGACACCATGGACAGGGAGTCCGGCTGCTGGGTCGTCGCTCCTGCTGTTCCCTGCCTCGCTTTGAGAGCCTGGATCTCACGGCGAAGAACCAGTCCATCAAATCGCTCCAGGTCCTGTGGGGTCACCAGACCTCGCACCTCCGACAGCAGAGAAAACTGCCATGAGGAAGGGGGAGCAGACATGTAAACTCCAGACAAGACTGAAATTTCCCAGTTCCTCAGATCATTTTCAGACCATTTTGACACAAAAGCATTAATATTTACTCAGGGTTTCTTTACCTGCCTTTGTGTTTATTACTTCCAAACAAAATCCTAAACTCACTGTACCACCTGAGGCAAGGTGGTACACACACACCCCAAACCAGGGATTCAGTTTCAGTTTTACACAGGCTTGTGTGTGTGTGTTGGGGGGGGGGGGGGGGGGGGGGGGGGGGTCGTCTGTCTAATATCCTTCTGAGACCCGCCTCCCTGGTGTGCCATTTGGCAGCTTTTGTGCTAGCCCATCACCCTTTAAGGGGAGCCGGGCTCCCCTTAGCTCCCCCATAATCTGAACCCTGCCTACATTCGTGTAAAGCTTCATATTCTTATACATGTATATATTGTGTGTGTGTGTTTTACTGTATAGTCTTCCTGTGAATCTCCTTTTCTTCACTTCTCCTCTGAGGGACAATAAAAGATGATTCTCTTCTATTCCAAAGCTTTGTGAGCAGGTCTCTGTAGACTCTCACTCAGTGAATTAAAGATTTAATTGACTATAATATCCCATTTATATGTCTGAATAACATTTTTTCACATAGTCAGACTCACCAAAAGCCCATTTGCTTTTACTTCTGATGGAAAATCCTCTGCTTGCTGCTTTCTTTTTCTCTTAAACACACCATCTAACCTAAAATACAAACCCTCTCGTGAAAGCTGGAGGTAAATGTGCATCAGCCAATCAACCTGATGAGGAGAAGGAATCAGGTGCATCAACTTAAAACAAAAGAGGACGAGCGTGTCATCTCATTAAAATGATGCATCAACAAAAAAAGTCAACGAAGTGGAAAGATTGTGCTGTTGCTCTTTCACGCTTTGGATAAAATCATCAATATTACACAACATAACACCAGATTATGGCAGCTTTTGAATATCATTGTTTTCACAGGCTTGATTTTCAATTTTTGGAGTGAAAATCTGAAGTAGCAGCTTTGGATTGGAAAACTGAACGAAGACTTAAAGAATGTTTGTCTTCTTCAGACCCAGAACTAAAATAATTCTTACTTGTCTTTTTGCTGCTTCTTGCTGCTGTGCTCGTCAGAGACTGTCACCTTTAGATTGTTCGGTGAGAACAAATGTTATCAAATGCCGAATGAGTGCAGACTGCACCCACGTGGAGGGCACTGAGTAGGGTTGTCACGGTGTGAAAATTTTACCTCACGGTTATTGTGACCAAAATTATCACTGTTTTCGGTATTATCGCGGTATTTTTAAATGTGTTACATTTTCAAAATAAACCCTGTATATCAGGAAATATTGTCCTCAGTTTGTGTCTAAATGTTGCCTAAAATGTGTTATTTTGTAATTATGTTGTTTATTTGTTTACATTTTCCCTTTTAGTCTTTAAAATACCAATATTTGCCCATAACTTCTTATTTTATGTCTGTTTGATGTCATCATTTTAAAAATATTAGATCAGATGATACTCAGTACTCAAGTAGCCTTCTAATCAGATACTTTTTTTTACCCTTACTTGAGCAATAAACCCTATATCAGGAAAATATTTCCTAGGTTTGTGTCCTTCCAGTGAGCTTTGCAGATGTGGGAAAATATCATCAGGCAGTAATCATTGTCAGGGGCGGCGTTAGGCCCGGCTACTTGGGCTCAAGCCCTGAATCTTTAATGAAAAGCCCCGGATCTAAATCGTGGAAGTAACATGCAGTACCAAAGTCCAACAGAGAGGGAGCAGCTGGCAGGAGTTTGTATACAGCCTGCCTGAGCCTCCACCACTGAAGAAGAAGCCCTTCAGCAGCCGGCTTCTTCTACACTCTCTGTCTGAAACGCATGAGTGAAGATGGACATAAGGACGTTTTTTAGACCAAAAGTACGGCGACAGAACCCCAGCTTTGATGAGACTGGTGCTGACTCAGGTTTGTGAGTCTTATTAGAAAATATTTTTTGTGCTGCTGGTTTGCCTAAAGTTAGCTTACTATCAGGTAACGTTGTTGGGGAAAGAAAGGGAATATTTACTATCATCTCACACTAAACACTAACAGGAACAATACTCTGCCCTGAAAATGCTTAATATGTAGCTTCAGATTAAAAATTATGTGGTACAAGACATATATGATGTTGACTAGTGCGTGTCACGTGTGTGTGTGTGTGTGTGTGCGCACGCGTGCGTATGTGTGTGTGTGTGTGTGTTAAGCCCCGGATCTTCTTCAGTCCTTAATCCGCCCCGATCATTGTTAAATTCATAATTATTCTCGGAGAGAGACCAACTCTTATCTGCCCCTGGGAGCCCCGTAATGCATAGCATCATTTCAATATGGGGGTGTCCGCGACACGGTTTATATGCAGGTAGCGGCGCGACAGGAAAGCCGTCTTCTATCAACTGTCCCTCGGCATTCTTCAAATATCCAAAAGATGCCCGTACTTCCCACTTTGTCTTCTTTGAGGGATAATAAATGTCCTGAGCGCTGCCGTCTCCTCCTTTGGCCATTATTTCAGCTTTAGCTTCAAGAAAGTTTTGGTTGTAAACATTAAAGTGCGCATGTGCCGCTGGCAACTTCAGCAGATGATACGGTGGCTGGTAAGGGTCACCGCGCCTACACCGTAGCCACTGTAAACCCACAGAGATAATATAGTTTTTTTTAATAAACAAGACGGTTATTATTATTGTCAACTTTTTTACCGGGGTTTACCACTATACCGGTTACCGTGACAACCCTAGCGCTGAGTGAACCGGATGCTGAGAAGGAGCAGATAGAGTAAATGATGGGTAAAAAAACACCAGTGCAGCATTTGTGATTCTGGACCTGAGGTTGTATCCTTCGGAAAATGAAGCACAAAGGAAAATCGGTTAATCGTTATCTTATTTTCTCTTTTCTGGTACTTTTCATACATTTTTTTAAATGTATTTTTTTTATCATCTCCCCCCCCCCCCCCCCCCCCCCCCTGTCCTGTCTGGCTGTGAAGCAAACAGAATCGATGTCTGAATGCTGGTGACAAGCCTTACAGATTTATTCTCAGGTGGAGCATCAAAGCATCTACTTTTAATGTCACGCCTGATACTTAAAACTTTATTGTTATTGAATAATTTGTAATTCCGACCAGACACGGAGACAGAGGTGAATTAGAAAGGAAGAGACAGGGGGTGGGGGTGTCGTCCACAAAAATACACAACCAATGATGAACAAGAGTCTGCTTCTAGACTTGCAGAAAGAGAAAAAGCAAACAAACGAACAAACAAAAAACAAACACAACAATACAACAGGAGCAAGCTATCACTGCGTCAACCTCATGAGGAAATATAAAATCAAAATTTTTTACTGAACAATCACATGATAATAAATCATAGTGCCTTTAGTGCCAACCACAGCCATGTGTTGAAAATGCCCAAGTCCATACTTATGAGAGCACAATGTGAGCACCTGTGTGTGTACCCGCACTTGTATATGTAAGGTTTCTCTATAGAAGCGTCTAATAGAGAGTGTGAGGGGCCAGAGATCTGTCCCCCAAAGATGCGTAGGAGACGGAAGGAGCTCCAAGTCCCAGAGTGCAGGGACCCCAGGGAGACTGTAACCAGAAAAGCCCCTGCCCCCTCTCGAGAGGCGCAGAGGATTGGGGTCACAACCAGCAGCTGGCAGAGTCCCGGGAGATATCAGCGGCAAGCCCACAGGCCCGCCTGCAGCCTCCTACCCCCAAGCCAGCTGAGCCCGGAACCCAGTAACCCGGGACCCAAGGGCGACCAGCCCCACCGGGGACCCAACAGAGCCCAGGGACTCAGATCCCACCAGGCAGCCACCGGCATCAATCAGATAGATGCCAAAAATCTTAAACCCCCTGACCCGGGTGCCATGAACAATCAGGCAGACCAAGGCACCACACTCCGCACCAAATGTGGCAGGGGGAGGGGAGGCGAAGATGTATAGTAGCACAAGAAGTACCAGGAGAGGGAAGGAGTCCAAGACCCCACCTAACATATACAGTCATACACAGACACAGTCACACACTCCCTCCCTCATGCTCTCACACACACATACAACCTAAGACTTACAAAAAGCCCCTTTCTGCTGGGGTGATGATGAGCAGGCTCTCCCATTCAATGCTGAGCAAAGCAACCCACCACCCCAGAACCCAACCAGATGTTCAGATCCCCCTCCTAGCCTCCAGCCCTGGGAAGCCAAGCGACAACAAAGGCGTGCTAAGACTCCTAGTCTACCTCTGCCTGCTCCAATGCAATGTTAGTGCATGTCAATGAGGTGTATTCCATGGCTGGGGTGAGTGGGCCAGCTGATGCCACCACACAACCCCACTTCCACCCACAGCCCTCTGTATCTAAATGCAGTTCCAATTGGAAGTGGGCACCGGCACTCGGGATCAGGTTGAAAGATCCCCTTGCCAAATGCCGTTGTATGTGCTTACTCCCAAGGCCCTAAGTGTGTGTTTGCGTGGAATGTCGTTGGCGGAAGTGTTTAATGTGCAAATAAATTTGGGGGGCAGGTTGCCACAGGAATGCGGAAATGGGGTCCATACCCGCACCCCTGACTTGTCCACCCCCTAATTCCTATGTGCATATTTGTGTGATGATGTGAGGGAGCAGGAGGAGAAAAATGTATGGGGATGGGGAGGAATGGCTGGTTGGACTGAAGCCCTCCAGGAAGCCAGCTCCCCCACTGGCCCCAATAGGCACCTCTGTTCCCAAAATGCCACCCAGGGCATGGAGACCCCAGCCCATCTCGCCAGGACCCAAAGCAGCAGCATTGCAGAGCCCAACGGAGTCCGAGGGCACCGACCCAGCCCCACCCCAGCAGAACATCTACTCCCTTCCCCGAAATTTGCACAACTTCCAGAATATATAAGACATCCAGGTAAGGTTGGGTTCTCCCCCTCCTGGGCATCCCCCTCCCCAGTGATGGGACAGAATTATTATTAAAGAGGAGCCAAGGTCCACCTGA